CACAAGCCCCACACAGCGCTGTCTCGATTGACGTTTGGGTTCGCACGCATCTCCAGACGACAATTTCATTCGGTGAGTGAGCACGCGGTCGGAACGTGTGTGTGTATGTGTGTGTGTGTGTGTGTGTGTGTGTGTGTGTGAGTGTGCTGACGTGTTTCTGTAGATTGAACGTGTGTGTGTGTGTGTGTGTATGTGTGTGTGTGTGTGTGTGTGTGGGTGGGTGGGTGCGTGTGTGTGTGCGCGTGCCTGAGTGCGTGTGACACTGTGTGTGTGTGTGTATCAAGTTTCTGCCACAGGTGCTCGCAAGGATTGCGTGTGTGTGTGCGTGTCTTTCAAGCTTGCTCGACCAAAAGGGTGTGTGCGTGTGTCTGTGTGTGCGTGTGTGTGTGTGTGTGTGTTTTGTCTCTGCGCAAGGTGTGCGCGCGAAGTTGTGCGCAAAGGTGTGCGCTCAGGGACAAATGATGTGGTGAGTATCGTTGTGGAGTGCACGTTTGCACATGCTCACGCGGCCATTTTTGAGTTCAATGCACGGTTGGTCGCTTGCCGCAACTCTCGCGTACGGGGCACGATGTGTGCGCAAGCGATCCAATGATTAACAACGGGGGGATCAGGCAATCAAACGATCAACAAAACGACGGGGTCTTCGTGATCGGCTGATTGGATGAGATGTACCGATTGTGTAGATTTGATCGTAGCACGGTGTGTGGGTGTGTCAATCGTGTCGGATGATTATTAGATTCCTATCATTTCGGCAGTCAAAACTACTTCGACGAACAGTTCGCTCGGTCATCGGCAAACTAGCAGGCCACTACGCAGCAAAGAGCCTCCCGATCAGCCAGCCCAAAGGATGATTCATCAAAGTATGCGGTGATAATGTTGAGACAGCACACGCGATCAATCGACCAATCGCGAAACACAATCAGATCACTCGCGATCGGTCGATTTTTCGTGTGTGTTGTCTCAATGTTATCACCGCGTGTGTGTTTCGCTCATTTCAATGGCAACATCATAACACAAGCAGCTTACTGCCAACCGGTCGATTGATCACGTGTGTTGTCTCAATATTATCACCGCGTTTGTGTTTCGCTGTTTCAATAGTAACATCAATGTTACCACAAGTGTGCGAGTTTCTCGCCCGCTCGCCCGTTCACATCGCGGGCAGTTCGTGTAAGCACCCTTCGCGCGACCGATCAGTAGATCGTTCGCTTGATCAACTGATCAAGCAGTCGATCAACCCCCAACCGAGCAGTCGGTCAGTCAGTTCATCCTGCGAGATCTCTGGAGCAATCGACTGTCTGGTCGTCGATGGGCGAACGACATGTTCTTTCTCCACCAGCGCGCGAAGATGGTGTGCGACGTTTCTTTTGTGCATTCGTTAGTATCAACCATACACAACAACAATCGACTTTCAGTTTATCAATCGCCAGATAGTGAAAGATGTACTGTTCGATAGACTGATTGGTTGCCGACGAACGATTGATCTGTTCGCTGGTCGAAAGAAGAGCTTCCCGCGATCGAAACGAGTGAATGGACAGAACACAGGCATTGTGCGAGTGTTTTGTCAGTTCAGTCGTTCCGATCGTCGATTGCTCTTCATTCAACCAGCGGACACATCCATCGATCGCAGGCAATCCATCAGTCGATTGATCAGCAGACCTTTCACCATCTGTCGATTTAACAACCGATCGATCGCAGGTGAGCGCCCCGTCGTTCCCTTTCCCTGTTGTGCAGGGTCGGAACTAGCGACTGGACAAAAGTCATTTCCTCACAACCATGTTGCACATTGAACCTTGTTGGCCATCGAACCTTGTTGGACATCAAACCTTGTTGGGCATCGAACCTCGTTGGATGTCCAACCTTGTTGGACATTGAACGTTACTGGACGTCGAACCTCGTTGGTCATTGAAACTTGTTGCGCAATGAATGTTGTTCAGCCACCACACCCCGCGGCATCGAAATGCAACGGTACCCCAACGTCCGATCGCGTCGCATTGTCGCCGACAAAGTCATCGAATTCGGAAGGCCCCATTCACCGCAGACGGCGCAGAGCAATGCTCAAGTCCGTCGACATCCAAAATTTTCATCTACCTCTCTCGAGTTCTCTCTATCTCTCTCCATCTCTTCCTCCACCTCTCTCTCCGAACTCTCAGTCCATTTCCCAGTCCCACATCCTGTTGAAGTCTGGATCCCGGCGGACTTCCCATTTTCACATATCCCCTAATGTGGCTGTGGTCATTCTGCTGCCAAGCGATTTTGACAAACAACTCAAGTACGCCCGCATCCAAGCTTCGCACGTTGTCCAAACGGGGCATCGGAACGAGGTCGTTCGAATCCGGCGCAATGAACATTGGCTATACCCACCTCTGAACTAAACAGATCGGGAAATCGGACAGCGGAAGAAGTTCGGATTCCGGCGAACTTCGCATTCACGTCTTTCCTTTGATGCGCTCGCCGATTCGTACAGCAACACAAGCATGTCCAAATCCGCAGGCGCATCAGAGGACCGATGGAGGTTGGTTGAAGACGCGAAGTTCGCCGGAATCCGAACTTCTTCTCATTACCGATTTCACGATATGTTTAATTCACTCGCGAACATGGCCAACGACCGTGCTTCAAATACACGGGGCAACCCCAGACCGCAGCCACACCAGAGGATTTGTGAAATTGTGAAGTCCGCCGGGATCCGGACTTCAAGAGAGTGTGAGACAGCGAGTTTGACAGACAGTTGTCTCTCTCGCTCACGCACTCTCGCGAAGTTCGGATCCCGACGAACTTCATTCGAACAATAACCAAGTCCGCCCAAATCCGAACTTCACGGTATTCCCCAACAGAATCACCGAATATGTTTGCTCGAATCATATCTTGGAACGTTAGCTGCGTCCAAGACCAAACGTCGCATATCGCGAACCGGACAGCATGCAAATTGCGGATGATGGCGGACTTCGCCATTCCATCGGACCTCTTTTGTGGATGTGGTCCACCTGGTGCGTCGGGGATTTCACCAACCACGCAAGTGCTGATCCAGGCACACTCGTTGAGTGCGGATCCCGACGAACTTCACATTTTCGCATGTTTTCAGTTATGATTGTGGTCTTTCTTGCGCCCCTTGGGTTGCAATAAGAACACAAGGTCGCCCGGAACCAAACTTCGCGTTTTGCCCTATCGTGAAAATCGTAAAGGTTCCTCGAGTCTGGCCGCCGAACGTTGGCTGCATCCGCTGTGGTACTTAACACATTGCGAAACCGGACAGCGAAACAAATTCGGACGCAGGCGGACCACTCATTTTCGTCTAGCCCCCAATGACACTGTGGTTTTCCTCCTCCGCAGCCGAACTAAACAGATCGCGAAATCGGGCAGCAGAAGAAGTTCGGATTACGGCGAACTTCGCATTCTCATCTGTCCTCTGATGTGCCCGTCGATTCGTACAGCAACACAAGCATGTCCAAATTTGCAGGTGCATCAGAGGACCGATGACGGTTGGTTGAATACGCGAAGTTCACCGGAATCCGAACTTCTTTTGCTTACCGATTTCGCAATATGTTAAGTTTAATCGCAAACATGGCCAACAACCGTGCTTCGAATACGCGGGCCAACCCAAGACCACAACCACACCAGAGGATTTGTGAAATTGTGAAGTCTGCCGGGATCCGGACTTCAAGAGAGTGTGGGACTGCGAGTTTGATAGAAAGTTGTCTCTCTCTCTCACGCAGTCTCGCGAAGTTCGGATCCCGACGAGCTTCATTCGAACAATAACTAACTCCGCCCGAATCCGAACTTCACGGTATTCCGAAACGGAATCACTGAATATTTTTGCTCGAATCAGATCTTAGAACGTTAGCTGCGTCCAAGACCAAACGTCGCATATCGCGAAACCAGACAGCATTCAAATTGCGGATGATAGCGGACTTCGCCTTTCTATTGCACCTTTTTTTGTGGCTGTGGTCGACCCGGTTCGTCGGGGATTTCACCAACCACGCAAGTACTGATTCTGGCACACTCGTTAAGTGCGGATCTTGGCGAAATTCGCATTTTCGGATGTTTTCAGTTATGACTGTGGTCTTTTAGGTGCCCCGTGGATTGCAACGAGAACACAAGTTCACCCGGAACCGAAGTTCGCGTTTTGCCCTATCGTGAAAACCGTAAAGGTTCCTCGAGTCCTGCCACCGAACGTTAGTTGCATCCGCTATGGTGCTTAACACATTGCGAAACCAGACATAGTATTCCGAAACAGAATCACCGAATATTTTTGCTCGAATCAGATCTTCGAACGTTAGCTGCGTCCAAGACCAAACATCGCATATCGCGAAACCGGACAGCATGCAAATTGCGGATGATGGCGGACTTCGCCATCATTGCACCTTTTTTTGTGGCTGTGGTCGACCCGGTTCGTCGGGGATTTCACCAACCACGCTAGTACTGATTCTGGCACACTCGTTAAGTGCGGATCTCAGTGAACTTTGCATTTTCACATGTTTTCAGTTATGACTGTGATCTTTCTCGCGCCCCGTGGATTGCAACAAGAACACAAGTTCACCCGGAACCGAACTTCGCGTTTTGCCCTATCGTGAAAACCGTAAAGGTTCCTCGAGTCCGGCCATCGAACGTTAGTTGCATCCGCTACGGTGCTTAACACATTGCGAAACCAGACAGCTGAACAAGTTCGGATGCAGGCGGACTACTCATTTTCGTCTAGCCTCCAACGACACTGTGGTTTTCCTCCTGCGCAGTGGATTTCACCAAACACGCAAGTACAGAACCCGTCTCTCTCTTTACCTCTTTCTCGCACCCTCCTTAAGTTCGGATCCGGTGAACTTCGTGTTTCCACATGCCTATTGGTCTGCCTTGTGGCCCTGGATCGGACTCGCATTTCCGTCTAACCTTGAACGATTTGTTTTTACACAAACGACGAACAATTTGACTACAAAGACTGCAACTTTTTCTGTCGTCATTTGTTGGGTGTTCTCGAATCCCGATGTTAAACGTGTTTATAAATAGTTCGGCTTAGATAGGCAAGTACCATTAGTGGAAGTTAGGAATGGAGAAAATGTCGTTTGATTGGGGGGAGGAAATGCAGTTACGAGAACACATCGGTCGGAGCTGCATGCCCGTGTGCTTGTACAGTACATGTACTTGAACGCATGTAGAAACCTTGTGAATATTCAGTTCGGGACGTGACGACTGGGTGTTGGCATCACGAGGGGAGTTTTTGTTTGCCAACTTTGTCTATACGAGTGTCCACATGTCCGTATGTGCCGTTTGATATATGCGCGTGATGTGTAGGGTGCATAATGTCGTTGAGAACGTCGACAAGCATCGGCATCTGTCCCGAGACGCACAAGCGCTTAGCAGAACCGTTTCCTCCTTGTGCGAAATCGGTGTGGCGTCGTGACGGTCATACGTGGATCCACGAAGCAACCAGAGAGGACTTTGAAGAGGACTCATGGATGACCGTCGTCCCGTACATGAACCGGCCTCTTGACGGCTGGTGCGGTGGTACTTGGAACGCGATTAAGAGTGGTTGCCCTTGGGCAAGTCAGTACAAGTTTGCCAATATGTTAGAGTTCGGGAACCTCATTACATTGCCTAATGGTGTCCTCGAGCACAAGCTCCTGAACTGTATGTGCAAAACACTCCGCTTCATTAGCCGCTATAGCAGTCGCCTCGACTGCGACTAGATCAGGTCGTCGCCACAAACTTGGGGAGGTTTGTGGAAACAAGAGTTGGTGGACTGTGCTCGTCATTGTTCATTCTTGGAGCAGTACCCGCTCCGTTGCCCCGGGATTTCTCCACAAGCTGTGTCGTACTGTTGTGTGCGGTTGACTGTATCCGGATCTGATTTCGCCAGAGTGTCATGTGTCGCTACTTCGAACAAAAGTAGGAAACTCGTCGATGAAGTTGTGCGTGTGTCACGCAACGAGGTGGTAATTGAGGGGTCCAAGTTCGTGCCTATGGTTGGGCATCCTGGTGTAGATGGGTGGTGAGATTTGGTGATAGCAGGCCAGGTCGGAGATTTTTCGTTGTGGCATGAGGTGGAAGAGAAAGTATCCGACATACGAGACTGTATAGGATGAATGCTATGTATGGTTTCGGCTAGATCAGGACGGGTTGTCAGACCTTGTGTTTAAGGGAAAAGAAGCGAGAGGTGTGAGAGGCATGTGTGTAGCCGAAAATGGTAGATGTGAAGTATTAGAGAGAGGTGTAAGAGGCAGTCGTTGCAAGTAGACGCTATACCACGCACTTGTGGTGTGAACCCCGGGCAATCCAATTAAACTCATTTTTCGTCTAGCCTCCAACGACACTGTGGTTTTGCTACTGCGCAGCAGATTTCACGAAACACGCAAGTAGAGAACCTATATCTCGTACTTAGCGTCTCTCTCCGGCACCCTCCTTAAGTTTGGATCCCGGCGAACTTCGCGTTCCCACATGCCCTTTGATCTGACTGTGGTCTTCCTTGTGCCCCTTCATCGGACCACCATTTCCGTCTAACCTCATACGTGCATATGGATGCCTGCTGCATCTCGGGTTGTGACAACCTCAGAAGTGCGGATCCAGTCTTTCTATATGTCTCTCTTTCTCGCAGCCTCCTTAAGTTCGGATCCCAGCGAACTTCGCACTTCGCCTGTCTATTGAACTGACAGTGGTCTTCCTAATCCCCAGTGGATTGTAACAACAGCCCGTGTCCGCCCGAATCCAGACTTCTCTTTTTGCCTGGATAGGGTCACAGGACATGCTAGACCGGCTCCTGCGTTCGAACTTGGCTGCAACCGACGCCAAGCTACGCATAACGCTGATCGTACAGCAGAAGAAGTGCGGATGCGGGCGGACTTCTCATTTTCAACTAGCCTTTCATGCAAGTGTGGACTTCTCGGATCGTCGTTGAGTTTAACAACCACATAATTACGGATCGTGTGTCTCTTTCACCGTCTCTCTCTATCGCACCCTCCTTAAGTTCGGATCCTGGCGAACTTCCCGTTTTCGGCTGCATGTTGGTCTGTCTGTGGTCTTCCTGGTGCCCGGTGGATCGCGCGAACCACCCTAGTTCACCCGCGTCCGACTTCTTTTTTGCCCGTATGCAGTTGCGGAGTGTGCTTGCACGGGAACGACCTTGGAACGCTGGCTGCATCGGCTGCAGTCTTGCTTGTTCCCTGTGGATTACAAAAACCACAAACATACGGATCCTGTCTCTCTCTCTCTCGAGCTCTCTCTCTCTCTCACCCTCTTCAATTTCGGATCCCGACGAACTTCGCGTGCTCAACTGTCCGAATCGGGGTTCCGGAAGGTCTTTGTGGGCGGAAGCCACTGCACCGTCCAGCCGACATCCGAGCTTCGCATACTGAGCGGAGGCCCGTGGCCCGTCCTGCGCGAGCTACGAACAGGACCGCCCACCGATTCCCTTGCGACATGCCCGCATTCTAAGTCCGCCGGCATCCGAACTTCACAAATTCTCAATGCGTAACTGACTCGGACACCCGTCTGCGAAATAGGTTTGGTCCCAATGTCGTTATCGCCTGACCACCTACAAGATGTGCCAAACAGTCGTTCATTGTCTTCGCGAATTGCCAAAAGCACTCTTAGGGGTTCTTGTTGCGGGGTTTGGGTCCGTTCGCGGCGGAGTTTAGTTCTGCCTGAACAGATTTGGGGTACAGTGAGCACAAGGTCCCCGTCGTGAGAGCTTCTTGTTGGATCTGGATCTGTTTTAAGCAGAGTTTCGCACTCCACAAACAGAATTCCCATCCGGTTCTCGCAGGTTATTAGTTGTTCGGGCGGTCTTTCGAGATGCTTCATCGTAACTGGGGCAAATGTGGCAGGCCTCCTGGGACTATGGACGAGTATAACTTCACCGGCATCCGAACAAGAATGCCGCACGGTGCTTTGAAGTTGTGGCAATTCAACCGGGTACGACGGACACCAATGACTGAAGGTTTCCGTCGAGGTCCGCCGACATCCGAACTTCACGCAATGCGGCAACGGGTCGTGTGGTCCGCAGAGAACGAGAGAGAGGTCCAAATCCATATGTGCACACTAAGGGTTCCGTGTTGCGCTCCACCAAGATAATATATTCGTGTTCGTGAGTATGACATGCCTCATCAATGTAAGTCTGAATCCTGGCGAATTGCGGTTATTTCCATCGGCATGCATCAGCGCCAGTGAAAATGATGGCCGCATGACGTGTGTCGCATTTCCAAAGATTTTTCGCGTTGCTAGAGGGGGGTTGTTAAAGGGCTTCGTGTACGAAGTTCGCCGTAGTCCGAACTTCTTGGTTTGGGAACGACGTGATGTGGCCGACGTGTGCAGTGAAGTGTTTCCCGACTGTGTTTGTGGTGCTTCGTTATCGCCTGCGTTGTGGTTTGACTGTGTCTTGACTGTTTCTGCTCTTGTTATCCCAAACCTGACAGCGTGGTGGTTTGCTTTATTTGCGGTGTCGTCCGCAGACACGATGTCTTTGTCGAGGGGCGAGGGGGAGCCTGCTAGGACCTCCGGGACGGGATCAGGAAAAGATTCCACAAAACGGTCGTCTACGGCCTCGAAATCGTGGGCGGACCACTCAAGGTCGAAATGGTTCGTCGACTGGTGTTGTGAGGATGCTTCCAACCCCGTTAAACAGCCGTGTGGTCCTGTCATCTTCGTCGAAGCCAACAAGCGGCGTAGGGTTTTGGGGGCTGTCTTGCGGTGGGAGGACGCGAAAGGCAGTCGTCGACGGTTCTATATGAAAAATGTTTACAGTGCGAAGGGCAACGTCGTCAGCAATTCGAAGGGGGCGCTGCTGGACATGCATTTGTTCGAGGGGTTCGGAACACCCCTTTCTACAATGACCTCGTGCGGCAGGGGGGGTTTGTTTTGGGTCGAGAGTTTTTTAACTTGTTGGAGGAGAAGGACGTCCCCTGCGACGTCGGCCCCGCCCTGGAGCTGTCAATGCCCTTGCAGTTGTGCGGCGGTTGTGAATCCAGTGGGGCTGCGCTAGAGGGGAGGGATCTGGGTTCTGGTGCGGCTACAGAGCTGCAGCGGAGGGAGAGCCGCAGTCAATTCGACGACAGCGAAGATGAGGCAACACCACTACCGACTTCTTCGCCGTTGAGCCGAAGAGTCCATTCCGTGTTGTCTATACCTGGGGTCCGGCAAGCAGCACCGGTTCGAGAGGAGGTCGCAGCGGATCCCAGAAAGGCGGCAGTCCAGTGTGAGCTCGACTTGAAGACAGCCGAGGGCCATGGCACGGAGGACGAGACCGTGGGCGGAGAGGGAACACAGGGCACTCCGCAAAAAAAACAGGGAGATCGTGAAGACGATTTGGTCGGCTTTTCGAAGAAACAAAAGACCAAGGCCCCAAAGAGTGCGGGGGAGAAACGAAAGGGAACGGGGGGGGAACAGGACCGTCCGGGTAGCAAACATCCGGCTTCGAAACAGAAGCAACCTGCGTCGGGACCTTCTTTGCCACGGCATGCCATCAATGTGGACGTCGGGTACTTCCTGGAGTACAAAGACAGTGTCAGGACAAGGTGGGAGTTTGAGATTAGCCCGGCTCAGGTCGTCGACCTCGGAAAGTGGGAGGATCTGTACAACCAGCAGTCCCTAGATCCCGTGCTGGTCGAAGGGATCAAGGAAGCGATGTGGTTGGCGTTCGAAAACAAAGAACAGTCGTACGAGTTGCCAACCTTCAAGCTCGCACCGCTGGGGCTGCAAAAACCAACTCCCAGGAACAAGGCACAACGTCTGAAGCCGGAGGAATGGAAGGACGAGCTGGCGGGACAATACTACTTATATGCGGTGTGTGGGCAGCATAACACGGCTGCAACACGATCACTGCTCGGCAATGAGTTGACCAAGAAGTACAATTTCGAGTGGTGGCCGGCATGAATCGTGTACTTTTCGTACAATGACTTTGAAGGGTATTTTCTTGTTAGTGCTCAGGACAACAAGGAGGACCTCAAGGTGCCTCCCAGACAGTTGAAACTGTCTATGAAAGACATTCGGTGGCAGTGGAAGCATGACAGTTTCCCTAGAGCTGTCATGGGGAACCCTAGCCGGAAACAAGATCAAGTCCGAAAATGGCGTGAGTTTTGTACAATGGCTCTCCATAAGGCGCCGCACAACAATTTGTGGATTCTCGCGGATCGAAAGGAAGAGGACGCCATTAAGAAGCAAAATGCTGCCCTACGTTCTTATCTCCCTCTGGCGATGGCCGGAGAAAATGTCTGAAAACTGGCCATGGAATTTTTTGAGAAATGGGAGGCGAGTAGATTGTTGAGCCACGACGGAGCAAAGTGGATCGTTAAGAAGAAGAAGGTCAGAAACATCAAGCCTGGGGTAGACTACATCGACAACGACAAGTTGGGCAGAAAGGAAGTGGTATACAACGTCCCCGTGGAGCCGCCGACTAGGAAAGGCAAAAATGAGAAAGAGGAGGGTGATTGGTTTGTGCAAGTGCCGGACCCGGACACGCATTGTTGGAAAGCGGTGGAATCACTCACCGACAATGAGAAGTGTCGCGTTCTAAAGAACGTGCTTTTCTTACGAGGTCGTTTGGGTCCAGGCCGACTCCCCGTCGTTGGCGAAGCTGGGGAAGCTCAACGTGCAGGACATGGTGCAGTTGGTGAAGCGCGACCGCGTGCTGGTCCAGTTGTGGAATTACTACCAATTCAAGCACGAGAAGAGGTCGGACGCGGATTGGATCCAAAAGCACCCTTTCCTGAAATCGAGGTCTGTCGTGTTCAAGAAGTTCGAAAGTCGGGGATTGGATGACGATTTGTGGGGCGGTAGCAGGAAATACATTTCTGACTCGACGTTGTTCAAGGACTGCCCGCCATATATGGGTTGCGAGGAGGACCACTCGATTGAGGCGACGGAAAAGTTGGCGGGCCACAAGAAGTTGACCGTCGACTGGAGAAACAAGGTTCTCTCCGTGTTGACTGGGAGTAGACTGAAGAGTCGGGAGATCGCACTTGCCGAAAGCATTGTTCACATCAAATGGAAAGACGCGGGGGACGTGACATCCATCGCGCCGTTCGGCAACAACCCTTTGGAGGCGGACATCAGGAGTGCAGAGCTGAAGGAAGCAGTGGCTGCCACAAAGAGCCACACGTTCGTCCTCGATCAATGTGAGCCGGTTGACCTCAAACTGTGGAAACCCCAAGCGTGGGAGACTTTGAATTCCTATCTTCAGACGTGGTGTCCGTCACATTGGACTCTCGTTGTTTTCGTGCCGCGGCAACAAAATCTCTCGTTTCTCGCCAGCATGCACCATCTTTCTTTCGTAAAGCTACTGGAGGGGAAGTGGGTGAGGAGGAAACAACAAAAGACACGCTTCCCCGTGGGGAACAATTTGTACACGGAAGACGACCTCATGTACATCCTCTTCAAGGGTGACGATCTGCGCATCAACACGTCCGTGGTCTATGAGGGAAGGCTGCCTAAGGGTGCCACTGCTGCCGTGCAGTTGCCTCAGAGGGTTACCCAGACGGATGTGTCGGAGATTCCCTTCACGCCTTGCGACTGATCGCAGACCGCGCCGAAACGACAGGGCAGCGTCTATGGGGACATGGAATGCAATCCGACACAATTCGTCGGTCTTCTTGATTTCCTTAGCAAGAAGGGAGAGGGTGTCGTCTTCCTTGGGGAACCGCACGCGCGAAGCGCGTGGGAACTTCTGAAGGCAGGCCGGCACCTTGTCGTGATGGAAAGGAACTCCGACCTCTTGCAATTCACGATGCAACTGGTCAAAAGCGAGGTCAATTCGGGGGCGCACAATTGCGAGTTCATGGTCGTGAAGCAACAAGACGGACATGTGGTTCAAGTTGAGCGAGAGGAAGAGGAACAAGATATATGACTTCTTTTTCCTTCAAACGCGGCCGAGGAAGGGCACTGACGCCGAGTACGTCCGCCGCAAGGACCACATGTTGGCATTGCTCGACAACCACCACTTCGCCTCCCGCATGAACGCGAAGACCTTTCTCGAAAGGCTGTAGTCCCTGTACTTCGTGGAGTCCGAGGAGCAGTTGAAGTTAGGCAGTTACGCTTCCTTGATCTCCACTAACGACGAGGCAGCCACCGGGGTGGAGTTCGACGCCAACGCGAAGGAGGAGGAGAGCGACACCGAGAGCCTTGACCTGCACTATGACCCACCTCCGACGGAGCACGCCCGAGGGTCCTCGTCGGTCGGTCCGTCATCAAGCACGGCACCCCTCGTGTCACCGACGGCCAGACCAACGCCGGGCACTATGCCGATGAAGTTGCTGGAGAGACCCAAAGCTCTGGCCGTTCCCCCGCGCACATTGCGTCCCGGGTCCGACGTTCCGCCTGATCATCCGTCTTGGAAGGATGGCAACATCCACTTCCTGCTTGAGCCACAACGTCATTCGCCTGAGGTGGACTGGGGCCACGACATGATTTGGCATCCAGGAGTCATCCAGCCTGCGATACAAAAGGGCGAGTGGGTCATGGTCGTCGCAGTCCCAGACGCGGGATGATTGTCATTCTCGCGGGAATCGAAGTCCAACTTCCTGCACCTCGCGAGGATTTCGGTCCTCCAAAAAGTTAGGGCCGAAATGACACGTTTGCACCCAACGACCTGTCCGTCGTTTCCACAGTCGGGCGACTGTTCGACGAGCTTCAGGACAAGTGCTGGTTGGAATTGACGGAGGACTACTACGAGCTCGACACGAGCCCGTCGAAGGGCGTGGTGGACTGGAAAGTGCCCCCTCCCAGTGGGCCGCACGGCAGTCCCGGGGGGGGGCACCTAGAGGTGGAGAGGACGGGGGTGGTGGTGCGGGGGGAGGCAAAGGTATCTCGCCTAGTGGGGAGGGAGGGTCTCATGGCGGCACCACGACACCGGGAGGCAGCGGTGGGGTGGCGGGTTTTGCCGTTGATTGGCATTCGTCTACTGGCCCCTGGCAGGAGCATAGGACACAGTCTGTCGACCTCCCGACTTCGTCTGTGGGCTCAACGAGGGAGACGTTGGCAGCCTTGGTTGCTCTCGGCAGCCGCTCCGGCGAAACGTTGAAGTCCGTCGGGATCCGAACTACGTCGGTTAAGGAGCCGCCAGAGCGGTCCGCCATGCGGAGCCGCTCGAGGTTGGGGGAGCCAAGCCAGGATCCCACAATTGGCAGCGGTGCGGTGAGGGACGGAAATGCGTCGCCTGAGCGGGAGCGACGGCCGCTACGATTGCAGCGAGAGGCTACAAGTGCAGGGTCCGCCGACACGGAGACGAACAAGTCCGCCGAGATCCGAACTTCTTCAGGCGGGGGGTGTCGACCAGGGATTGTCGTGCCGCCGAGAGGGGCAGCATGCACGGACACAGAAGGGCGGTCCTCGGGATTAAACACGGGTACCGGGGAAGGGGCTCAATTGCAAGGAAGGGAAGTAGGGGAGGAAATGGAGGAAGGGAAGGAAGCGCAAGAAGGGGAGGAAGAAGGGGAAGAAGGGGAGGAAGGGGAGGAAAGAGGAGAAAGGGAGCTCATTGAATTGCTTGAAGGAAGAGAGGGTGATAGAGGGGACATGAGTATTGGAGACGACAAAGAGCAGGACATTGAGGACGATGTCGAATCTGGAGAGTCGTGTACCGAGTTCGGACAACTGTACGGAGAGCATCACGAGGATGATGTCGACGACGATGCCACGACAATGGAAATGGGGACACAGGTGGTTAGCAGCCTTTCTGTAGAGCCTGAAGACTATGAGGTCCAACCACTAACATCTGCCATCGATTTGCAACACCGGTTCGACGAGGCTTCCGTTGCTATGAGCCCGTCTAAAGCAAGTCGTCGTATAAGCATCGACGAAGTTATCGACTGTATCCTCGGTGACCAGCACGTGTCCGCGCATCCGTCCACAACGCCTGACGTCGACGACGCCGACAATGTCACATCTTCCGTGGCAGCTGCCCTCGCTTCCTCGCCGCCGAACTCTCCGGTACTGCCAGCCACCCTCACTGGAAGAGGGGACGACAACATGTCACGTCCCCTAAAAAATCTAGGGTCGGCAGTCAAGTTCTCGACGTGATCGCTTTGCCCGTGCCAAATTCACCGACGAAGGAGCGGAGACACAAACCGACTGGTAAGCCGTGAAGAACGCCGCGCGCCCAGGATTATGAAAACGTGAGAGAGGATTCCTTCGTAGTCCGGATATCGGCAGACTACAGCCCGCGCCATACACAAGACGATTGTCCACACTGTCTGTCGATACGGGAAGTTTCGGATGCCGACATACTACAGCCACCAGTCCTTCCAACTACGTCTCATCAACTTTTTTGTGAGTCAGCCGGGTTGCTGGTCGTGGGCAGCGAAAAGTTCATCGAAAACATAACACTCCATCTAAGGAAGGATCTATCCTTCTGTGAAGTGTGTTTTTATTAACGCATTCCCTCGCAAAAGTCTCCCCGGCTAAGAAACTAGCCAAGTAAATGCACTGACGGTTTTTCCTTCTTGGAAATAGTGTCGGTTTTAGTCCGCCGGGAACCGAACTTCCTATGTCGATGCGTAATGTGGTCAGTCTCTGTGGGCCTGGTGTGTTGAAAAGTCCGTCGCAATCCGAACTTCAGGGAATGTTCGCCTTTGGCTTCTGTGAGTTGTGGTGGTTTTCCTTTGTGAAGGGCGGAGGTGTTAAGCTCAAATGCGGCAGTCGTTTTGTTTTCCAGCAGCACACACGCACCTCGATGTTCATGACCAAACAAAATCAGGGTCCTGTGATCGGAGAGGTCATGCCTGACTGTTGCGTCTGTACGATTGTATGGTTCTCACATTGTTACTTCCCTCGGATTCGTGTTGGGAAACGTGTATTCATTTTTCGTTGTGTCTTTCTTCTGTTGTACAGGGGTGGGGTCATCTCGAACACGGAGGTCCTCGAAATATCCAGAACACATATTGCAGAAAGTTCCCGGGTTGACGACAAAATACAAGGACATGTTAAAGGCGTCAGGGGTTGATGTCAAGATCGGGAAGAAGGAGCACGTCGTTGCCATTGAGGAATGTCTTTCCCTTCTGGCCCAAGAGAAAGGGACATATCCACGATCTGTGAGTAGGGGTTAGGCCATGTATGAGAAATACTTAGCAACGTGTCATGCAACGGGGGACAATGCCTTGAACTCCTTTTCTCACTACCCCACGTGTCCTTTGCTCGATGTTGTGCAGTGCGGGCCAGAACACGTGGAACACGCGGGAAAAGATTCGCTGCAGCGACTGCGCCTCGAAGCTTGCGGGTTTTGGACGACATTAAACGAGGCTCGGTGCCACCTCACACTGTTCTCTCTATCCTGGTCGATGGTCGATTTCGAGTTGCGGCAAAAAATATCCTCACCCTCTTGCGTATCAACGGCGGGGTGAATGATGGGGTGATCAATTTTTATATGGCGTTGTTGGGGTCGACCGCATGTGGGTCACGTGACATCTCGTCAGGTCTACAAGTCTTCTGCTTCAATTCGTTCTTCTTCAGTAAACTGCAACTTCAAGGACACGGTGGGGTGCAGAGGTGGGCTAAAAACGTTAATTTGCTTCAGTACGATATTATCTTCGTTCCTGTCCACAAAGATAAGGATCATTGGATCCTCCTTTCTGTCAACTTGAGAGATGATGTTCTCGAAATTTTTGATTCTTTTCCTCGCGTTGTAGCTGATTCGAGTTTTTACATTAGTGTTTTCAAGTTGATTGTAGAGTATTTGGAACGTCAAACATCACATAGGCGATCGGGCTGGAATTGGAAATCGATAGCGGGGAATGTTGTGGTGGATGGAGTTCCGAGAGAAGTGGATGGAGCTAGTTGCGGGGTGTTCATGTTGATATTTGTGACGTTGTTAGAACGTGGTGATCGACCACCTTTCAGATTCTCTTGTAAAAATATTCCGCTTATTAGACGACAATTGGCATCATGTATCTTAAAACATCGTTGTCTTTGATGGATTTGATTGACTTAGAAACTTTTTTTGAAGGTATTCCATTTGTTGTTGATTATATTTTGTAAATCATGACATTATTCAACTGTCGTCTTGCCAACGACATCGCTTTCTTTTATCGTTGCGAGTTTGCGTTGTCTTCGGCAGGCTCATTGCATGTGTCATGTATAGACTTCGTAATCTCTGTCACATCCCAGTCGTCTCTCATGCAGCGGAGCATGTCATACGTTGCGTTCCATGTTTCAAATTTTGTTCAACTCGAAGTGTACATATGATTGACAAATTGGTCGGTGGATGCATGACAAATCTCATCTACTGTGTGACAAATCTAAGCGAGTGGATGCATGACAAATTGGTCAGTGGATGCATTAATAAATGTAAGGACCAGTGGCGTCATGTCTCTTCCGTGTGCATAGGATCACATGCCTTGTGACCACGTGCATTGCATGTAACCAACAACCTTGCGTCTGTGCCCAAACCTTCTTTGCATGGCTATTTAAAGTGCGGATTTCAATCGTGAATAAGCAAAATTTAAAGTTCTAAACTTGTACATAAAATGTCAAAATTAAGTGGTCGTTACAATACACCTTGCTGATCACAACTGTAAACAAGTATGGATCTCAGTGCCCTCATGTCGAGCGAGATGATGAGCGTGCCTATATGCGGAAGTCCGGATCTCTTCAACATCCAAACAACCGTCTCCGGCAAGACGATGGGTATGCTTGCACAACTTAGGGATAACCTAGTAAAGAAAATTTAATGTGTTATCTAACAACGGTTCAATCATGACATCTTGCTCATCACATTTTATAAACTTTAAGTTTAACAAGTATGGATCTCAGCACACTTCCGCACACTGTCAGGGTTCCCAGACGGGCGTGTCTGTCATTACACTAAGTCTTATAAACAAGTCTGAATCTCATTAGACATCCAAACGACCGTATCAGGCGAGACGATGGACCTGCCTGTATAACTTTGGGATAGCCGAAAGAATTATACTGTCCAATTCAATCTGAGTGCATTGCCCATTTTATTTATAAAGTTCAACAAGTATGGATCTCACCACACTTTCGCATTTAGGGCGAGTGGATTGGCGTGCCTACGTGGAAACGCTGCAGCCAAATATGAATTCGTTAGAAAGAAGACACAATATAATGTCGTTCATCACATTTATAAACTTGATGTTTAACAAGTAAGGATCCCGACACACTTCCGCACAGGGTTCCCTGATGGGGGTGCCTATCGTTATTCGTTTATGAAGCTCAACAATTATGGACCCCAACACACTTCCGCACAGGATTCCCAACACGTTTTTCAAGTTCAACAAGTAAGGATCCGAACACACTTCCGCACAGGGTTCGAGGGCGGCGTGCCTAAAATGTATGAGTTCCAACACGCTTCCGCATTTGGAATAATCGTTTATAAAGTTTCACAAGTACGGATCTCAGCATGCTTCTGCCTGTGGTTAATCCCTGGATGGGTGTGCGTACGTTGCTTAGGCTGCAGCCAAAAATGAATTCGTTAGAAAGAGGACACAATATAATGTCCTATTTTAACGAATAACATGTTATCTTGCATGGCGTCCATCTTACTGTCTATGTATGCATGCATGGATAGGACGCTTGCCTTTAGGACTTTTCCTGTAGTATTCAGGGATGCGTCCTCTAAAGCCTCTAAGGCAGCCATGTCTGCCTCCCTGCTCTCTAGTCCGACACTTCTCTCTCTTATCTCCTTCTCTCTTTTAGTAACCTGCCTAAGTTCCTCCTCTAGCCTTAAGCAGATCTTTCTACTTGTTAGAGCTCCATCTGCTCCCGGGTGCGTGGAGGCGGTGAGCTGAACTGCGAGCTCGCCATCTTACTAGTGCCAACTCCTTACGTGCTGGAGATGGATTGCGAACCGGTCTGCTGACCAGTTGAGTTTGCGGCAGTTGCCGAGGAAGTAGCCATTGCTACCGCTCTAGCTGCTGCTGCTTCCCTTGCAGCCTCTAGATAACGGGCCCTTACTTTAGCCCTTAATCTTCCCTCTTCTCCCGGTTGTAGGACCTGGAACACTCTAGGAACACTCTAGGAATTCTAAGGGATTCTAACCTTGTTATCCTCCTAGTGTCATCTGCACCTCACCACCTTCTGATCCACTCATGGATTAGGCAGACGTTGTCTGCACTAATGTCCTCGCTGGAACCTACCGCAACATGCGTCTAACCGGTTCAAAAATAAATAAATAAGTAATGTCCGGTGGGTACGCTAGGCTACTCATCAAGCGTCAGCAACAACACCTACACAAACTATACACATAGTCTAACTCTATTCAGATTAGTCTGCATAGAAGATTCAAGAAGAACTGACAATGGTAGATTACAGTCCTACTCCTGTCTCTTATACACATCTAGATGTGTATAAGAGACAGCGTCTAACCGGTTCAAAAATAAATAAATAAGTAATGTCCGGTGGGTACGCTAGGCTACTCATCAAGCGTCAGCAACAACACCTACACAAACTATACACATAGTCTAACTCTATTCAGATTAGTCTGCATAGAAGATTCAAGAAGAACTGACAATGGTAGATTACAGTCCTACTCTAGTCTATTTGCCAGGTGTCGACAGTCGGTCAACCAACTAATCAAGAATAAAACCTAGACTAATGTGAGCAGATGTATGCAAAATGAAAATTGTAGTGATGTTTAGTAGAGTACACAATTGGAATCCCCCTTCCCCTGTATCCAACGTACCTGTGAGGATCATCAGGCTGCGGTGTCTAAGGTGTGCAACCACGGCCCACCCCTGTGCCCAAGAAGTATGCTTATGACCAGCGTGCCCTTTATTTACCCTCGCTTGCAACGAGCCTTACGTCTGACTGATCTGGCTGATCAAGAGGCAATTTAAGGACAGCCCCTGGAGTCCTCAAGAACTCTTTAACATCGCAATCAGGACGACGATCACAGCCAGTGGACAGTTCAGACCCCAACCAGAAATATTTATAGACGGTCTGGGAGTGTCTCAATAGGACTGGTCAGTCCGCACACCCCTTCTATCAGCGTAGCAAAGAGCTTCAATGGACAAAGCAGCATGGCCTGCGTGTACTACTCCCATGGGTTGGCATGGTGACCGTGACCCGTGCTTCGACCAAGACCCTTCAGAGGCACCGCCCTCTCCTGCCAGATGTGCCACCAGGAAGAATGCCGTCTCT